AACCACCATTAATACAGTAACAGGCTGCTAAACAAAGTAATAACATTATATTTGAACATTGTTTCCTACTTGACAAACGATATTGAACTGTTTATTTCCCTTATTAACAGAAAACTTTTGTACCAGTTAAAGCTATTGTAAAGAGGAGAGGAAAAAAAAAGTGTTTGCAATGTTCAAATTGAATTATTGCCGAGTTCAAAGGAGAGACAAAAAAAGTTTCCTTCTCATGTGAGTTAAATGACTTCAGCACAAATCAGATGTTTTAATTTTTAAACCAAAATTCCAAAACTTTGTAAAAGGTTGTCACATGTACTTGCCATCCTATTTACCTTTACCTGTGAGTAGAGAGGTGTTTACACATAAATCATATGAGGGCTAGGCCTGCTTCGGAAACTGATAAGATTTCATGCAGTACATATATATATATATATTAAAAACAAAACAAAGGAACGTGTAGGCATTTTCATGAAATGAAATAAGTGCTCTATTTATTGTGCAATATGCATTGCATATAAGGAACTGGTCATTGGATCTTGACATTTGCCAGAGGCATTCAAAGATATATTAATATTGTAACTTTTGTTTCAGTTGAAATTGTTGCCATGCAGATGGATATATAATAGACTACCTTTGTGTCTCGTTGTTAATGCAATGTGTTCAGTTTAAAGGTACTAAATGTGTATTTGATAGAGGAAATGCAGAGACAACATGTAGCAAATGGCCTGAACTGCAGATTATTTAACAAGGCAAAAGACCCTGAATATACTGTGTTGATTGGCATAGTAAAAACTGGAAGAGCGCAATCGGTTAGTACATATGAAACAAACTTTTTGTGATCTTGTTTAGTCATAAAAGTCTAAATGGTGCCAAGGAGTGCTGTTGCTGCATGTTTATCTGCACTACGATTTCGTTGGTCTCCCAAAATATTGGCTCAAAGACCCTTCCATACGTATCTTTATCTGCCTATGTTGTATGAATCTCAAGTTCGAGGACTGGGGGGGGAGGGGGGGGGGATTACCATCCAAAAGGCTCGGTGTAGTTCTAGTGGAAGTTGTTTCAAAGCATGATTGTAAAAGCAGCGACCTTGTGAACAGTAATCGAAATGTCACCATCACACTATGAGGACGGCCACTGAGGCGCTTGCCTGGCTTAGCCGAGGTGAAGACGGCCTGGTTCACCTGTTGGTGAATGTCTGTTATGTCATTGGATGTGCACATTCCTTTCTTGCGTTTTAAGATCCGAGGGTGTGAAGTTCAGTGTGGGGCTACTTTGGATACATTCTCATAGCTCTGCTTTAGATTTGTAAGCCCAAATACCCACCTGGGGTGATGAGATTCTGTTCTGGTCTAATTGTAAATATTTGGGCTGCCACACGGAAAACAACTGGTTCTAATCCAGTTCAGTCGCATCTCATAGATGTGTGATAGCAGTTTTATAAACTCTGTCAGTAAACTCCAGAGAAACTGGCAACAATCAGATACTGTCAGATTTACCTCAGCATTGAATTAAATGATTGCTCCCATGTTTAGATTGACTGGAAACCAGCAAACTAGACTGTCCTTGACCACCTATTTTTGGAGCCTTTGGTATAGCCTAAATGATACCTGATTGGGAGCATCCTCTTCAGCATATAAACAACCTGGTGCCTTACACACTCCGCATGCTTACACGCTGGCCTGGTGCTTTGGATCGCAGTTATGGCTTCTTTTTGTTTTCTTCTTCTTCTTTTTTTCAAAACTCCTTTTTCTTCTATTTCTTGTGTCTCAGCCCCCTTGTGTGCTAGCGCACGACTCGTGGTGCTAAAAGTGTTTGTTACAAACTCTTTAGAAAAATAGGAGCAGAATTCTTAACTTTTTTCTGCTACCTTTCAGCCCCCCCCCCCCCCCCCCCCCCCTCCCCCGACTTTATTGCCATCCCCATTCCCTAGCCATCCAGGTATCGGCCTACATGTAAACATGGAAGGGGGTGGTCACCTAGATGCAAGACGATGCAGAAGAGATGGCTCTTCACCAGCCATGTGCATTAGCAGGGAGAGCAGGGGCTGATTGGGAACATCAGTAGTGGCCTGAAATGGTATCAGTTGTTACGGGAAAGCCCCACCCCACCCCTTAAAATGCTTGTTTTATGGCTTGGGTTAGTTATGTGTAAGTTGTAAGTTGCTCAATTAATGGGGAGTAGCAAGCATGTCTTGTTTTGTTTTGTGGGGGTTTTTGTTTGTTTGTTTTTTGTTTGTTTTTATGTAGTTTTACCTTTTCAGCATTATTCCACATTATTTGTAATTTTGGAATGTTTTTGCCCACAAAAATATCATTTTGTTTTTTTTTTTCTTTCTGTGCAACATTTCATCACTGTGTGCAATATCATATGTGCCAATGGTGGCAATATATGTATATCAATTAAATATATGATTACTATTTGAAAGCATATGGCTGAATTCCATGTTTATTTCTCATGAAGGAATTGTATGCCTTTATTTGCACACAAAGCTCCATCCTGGAGGAAAATATAGTAAACCAAGGTCTTAGCAGCCTGTTGAGTCAAGCAGTTCACGTACTTACTTTAACTTGAAATCGAACATTGTCCCTGCAAGTATGCCCCTCTCAAGGAAAAGGGTAAACTTGGCTAATGGTTTGTTCAAGGTAGACTGTAAACATACAATGGAGTTTTTTTTTGTTTCTTTGTTTTGTTTTTTCTTTTGTTTTTTTGTGAAAAGGAAAATTTAAAAAGAAGAAAAAAAAATCCCTGGAATCTCCATTTTAGCTTTAAGCTAAGAAAAGGTGCTTCAGTCCAATCCTCATTAAGGTGTATGGTGAACTGTCTTCAGTGGTTGTTGTGTGTAGCACTTTGCTTTCCCAGGTTAATGAAATGCCTGACCAATACTTGTTTAAAATGATCTCAACAAAGAATGTTGTTCTCTTTTCTGTTACCTCTTTTTATTAAAAAAAAAAATGAGGTTATTTGATTTGCTCATTTGGTTTTTGATGCATTAAATATAATTTATGTACATTTGACAAATTATAAAAAAAAAAGAATAAATTTAATTTACCCATGAGGGTGAAAAAAAATCTATATTCAAAATGTATGTGTTTTTCATGTTTCATTTCTTGTTGTGGGATGGGGGTAGGGGAAATCACTGAAAAGTCTGTTTAATTTTTATGTAGTGCTGTCTACAATGTCTGATTATACATTTGCAATGATACTAATTGCTAAAGCTTAATTTTACAGCCTATAAAATGCAAATTTTGCAATGGCGAGTACCTGATGACTCATGTCTTCTTAGAGATTTCTACAATAGTACTGTATGTGTAAAACCAGGCTGTAAAATAAAGCGTTACTTTGTTCTCTGACTATCCCGACTATGCAATTTGTGATCATCTGTATGCAACAATTGCTCTTCTGTGAGTTTTTCTGTTAATCTAAAAACTAAAGAAATTAGACTTTATTGATCGTGACCCAACAGAACCTGCACATGTTTCAAGTTACATTTTTGTAATGATTGTTTTTCTTTCTTATTATTTTTTCTTTTTTAATACGTTTGGTGTCAGAGTTAAGCTAAAAATCAAAGTTTAAAAAAGAGCTTAAAAAAGTTGCTTCCAGATGTTTTTAGGATGCGTCTCACTATCTTGAGTTTATAGCTATTTATAAGTACAACTGATTCCCTGTAACAAGTTGAAGTCTTGGTTTAATTCTGTTAATAAAATGAAATGACATAGAAAATGTTAATTATCATTATGTAAATTCTGAAAATTGGCAAAGTGATAAAGCAGCACCATTTGGGTTGCTTCTAGGTCCTAAATCATGGAGCATAGAGGCAGATTTATTTCTGGGCCATCCACACGGGGTACCTTTGTATTGCTTCAACCATTCTCCTCCTATCAGAAGAACCCACATAAGAGTAAATACAGCATAACGAGCTGGGAGGTCCATTCTCTAGACATGCCCAAAGGTATTTCTCCAGGACATATGTATGTTTGTGCTTTGTTTGATAGTCCCAGCCTGCCAGAGGGGATGGAGGGTGAAAAAACTGAAGTGGATGTGCTATACCGAGATGGACTCCAGCCCAGATGCCAGCTTACACTCCGACTTTGCTCCTCATCCCAGAATCTACACAGAGAACTGGTCTCTGTCGTCACAGCATGATTAAAGCATCCAAAAAAGGATAAACCCCATTTAATGAAACAAAAATTCTCTTATTAAACATAAAACACATTGTAATGTGTTCTGATGTGTCTAGTCTGATCCAAGGTGCCGCACTTTGAATCTATGAGAGAACTTACATTTTATTAATTTTGAAGCATGACCATTATCACATGAGCACTTTGCCACCGCTGACTATAACAAATGGCTTGCTACAAAAGCATCCTGCCCCTCGTTACCTTTTAGGTGCAGGTGTCTGCATGCATTGTATATTTACGCTGTTTTGCAGTGGAAATTTATGGAGCCATGCGGTCAGTGTGCATAAGTGCTTATGCACAGTTTTTATTCAGCTTTCGTTTAGTGCTGTAGTTTAAGGTAGTTGAGCACTGGCTTGGGTGGTGACGTAATCTATGGCAGGCTCCTTTTCTTTTTTTTTTTAAATCACAGCAATTGCCTTAACCAGTAGAGGCCGCTCTTTACCTAAAAATGAGTGGCTCATAAGCAGAGGAGGACAGTTAGCTGAGAAAATTTCCTGTGGCTTGAATGTGCAAACTATCAGCAGACATGGTAAATTAAACAGCAAACAGTTACTTGCATAATGCTAGAAGGCACATCGGTTGTTTCACATAATGCTAGAGGCTGTGCTAAAGTTTTGGGTAATGCTAAACGCGAACGTTAGCAAATAGCATTTCTTAATTAAAAGGCGTCGTTAAAAGGGAAGAAAATACAGGAGGAAGAGAGCACATTTTTCTTTGCAGTATTTTTTTTTTAATATTATTTGTGTAGAATTATATGTGTAAGCGAAAATGTGTGAAGATGTGGAAAATACGTGTGTTATGAACATGAACGCATGCCTTTCTTTCTAGCTATTTAAAGTGTGAGTTCAACTTCCTGAGACCAACTCAGGAAGTTGAAATGTAGCCTTAAATGTAGCTTTAGTGTGTGTGTGTGTGTGTGTGTGTGTGTGTGTGAGCGAGAGAGAGAGAGGAAGGGAGAGGGAGGTAAAGAGATTATGGAATGCTGTGATGTCATCAGCTCAGTCATACACACAAAGACGAGGAGGACCCACAGGCGCTGTGACTCCCTCAGCTCAGTTAGCATACTCTGCTGTGGAGCGGCTGTCTACATCCCACTGTGAGTACTTCAGCAAATTCTAACCTTCTCCTACAACTCCCTTTTTGTTTTGTAGCACTCATTTTCTCCACTTCACCCCCTCCCCCCTGTTTTCTTTGGTTTCCTTCTCTGCACCCTGCGGTGTGTTTAGCAGACACCAATCTGTATTCTACCAGTGTGATAGTTTTCAGTCTGAGACGAGCTTTCTTTCCCTCCAAGTGCTGCCTATGTGGTAGCCATTGTTTAACTACCCACTGTGACTGGAGGAGTCCATTTCAATCCTCTTGTTAGACAACCTGGCTCTCGCTGTCCAGTGCTATGACCCAGATTTTTATCCCTCATTACAACCAGACACTGGCCATGTTTTTTTACAAAAGGAAAAAGAGGCGGGGGCCGCTATTTTGTGAGAGTTTTAGAGAGAAACGAACATGGTTTTGGGGAGAGGAAGGAGCAGGGTGGGACACTGATGTCAGATGCAGTCCCATTCCTTTGGAATCTCCTCCCATTCTGGGTAGCAGACTTTCTGTAAAGTGTTGAAATTGGCTTTGGGCTCTTCCGTATTCATGCACGGAAGGACAAGACAACTGCTTTAAACAGATATTTCTAGGAAATAAGAAAAAAAGTTTCTTAAGAAAATATGTAAGACACTGCAGCTTTGAAAATCATGCAAGATGATCTTCACTGTGTGTTTTGTTTTTCTCATAGATTGTGCCAAAGATGACCTCCTCCAAAGAAATCTGACATCTTGATGGGGAAACTGAGCACATTATAGAAAGGAAGCAGGATTTGTGTGTGTGTGAGAGAGAGAGTGTGTGTATGAGAGAGAGAGAGAAAGACAGTCTGTATGAGAGATAGTACAGCTTGTACAAAAGCATGTGTAGAAAGAGCAAGAACCTTAATTCATGACTTCAAGAGTGACTTTAGAGACAAACAAGAAGCTACAAAAGTCCTCTGCTGACATGAGACCATAAATCATCCTTACACACTGTGCACTACGACAAGCAAGCTTCAACTGCTTGCCAAGTGGTACCAGGTTAACGTACCAACCATTTGGCCGCCAACATGCTGCAGCAGATCTTAAAGGACATGTACATTGACCCTGAGGTGCTGGAAGCCCTCAACGAAGAGCAGAAAAAGACACTGTTCCTGAAAATGCGCCAAGAGCAGGTGCGGCGCTGGAAAGAGCGGGAGGAGAAACTGGAAAGAGAGGGGGGCGACGCAGAGTCCAAGAGAGCAAAGCCAAGAAAAGGTAACCACACTGAGTAAAGACTCTTCATCAACAACCACAGCCGCCACCTCACCTTTTTTAACCTTCCCTCTTCCTGTTTATCTCAAACCTGAAGCTGCAGGGTGCAGCTTCAGGTTTTTCAGGCACTCCGACTGTCACGTTTTCACAAAGGTTCCACAGAAAACCATCTGTTCTCTTCTGAGCAAGCGCTTTCAGAGTCCTTGGAGTTGAGATATTTGCGTAGTGTGCTGAGAATTACCCGATAGAGCGTTACAAAGCTTGATAAGGGAACCACTGAAGCATGTGTACGTTGGCTGTGACAGATATCCTAAGCTTCTGGAGTTTGCATGCTCCCAATTATCTGAACAGCTGTTTGTCAAAACATGAAGTGAGCATCAAAATAAGTTTTTTTGTTTTGTTTTGTTTTGGGGGGTTTTTTGGGGGGGGGGGGTTACAGCTTAGGTCCTAAACTATTGCAGATCTTTATTTAAAGATCTGTTATAATTGCACTTTTTATTAAATGCTTCACCCTCCACAAGGTGAAAATAGTTTGACCGTATGGTCTAATTTCCTTGTCTTCTGAGCCTCATTCACACAGACAGAAACTCTAAATTAGATCATTTTATTTCCAATTGAAACATTGCAATGTGAGGTCCCAGATGTTGCTCATATCTGGAATTCTGTGGTTGATGGCAAATAAATGTCAGAAGAAAACCTCCACAGGACAGGAGGAGATGGCAAAATAACAGCCCTGTCGGGAAATTTACAAGTTAAACAAAGAGCACATGTGTTTATCAGATGCTGACATAAGATATGATTACAAATACTGTCTTTTTCCTCATATTTGGTAAATTCTTTTGCTCAACCTAGGTGGTGAGAGTATGCATGGGAAAAACAAAACAAGCAGAAACTCAGGAAGCTGCAAGCCGGTCGTGAAACTGGTTTGGCAAAATCTTGCGTGTCTGCATTTTCTCTTGTACGTCTTTTGTATTAAGGACTTCTGGAAGAAGAGCGTTGCGTAACGACGCGAACATAACAAATTGTTCTATCACCTTAATCCAAACATCAGAGGCAAAGTTAATTTATTTGGATGAGTGCAGCAGTTACTTAAACTACAATGATATCACAGCATGACTTAAAGCCAGTTGATGATTGACACAGTGATGTGTTTTGTCTGGTCTTGGTTAATCAAAGCACTTTCTATCAACTGTGGTACAGAGCGAGAGAACAATGCACTGTGTCTTAATGACCAGTGCAGCCATCTCTAGGAGGCTGTATGTTGAGAACACATGGTTACAACTCTTCTCCACAAACACGGCTTTTTTTTTTTCTTTTTCTGTCTTGCGTGTAGAGGAAATGGTGGATAGTTGATGTAAAAATGTAAAAATAGGACATGAGTCAAGACTCAGGCCTTTAAACAATTAGCAGAGTCTGAAAGGGGAAGTTAGCAGGAAATGTATGTGTTTGAAAAAGAAATGGAGACTTTGATTTTTATCTGGATGGTCTTGTGGGAGAGCTGAAATGCCAAATGTGTTTTTAGCCACAAAATGAAGCTCATATCCCACTCAGCAGTTGCTCCTGCACTTTTGTGTTTTCCATTAGTTTTTGTTTTTCTTTAGTTTTCCGGTTTTGCCTGTCGATTAAGGTTAGTTTTGGTTAGTTTTCCAGTGCAGGATGTGCTTGTTTTGATTTTTTTGTTGTCGCAGGTCTAATTCGGTTTGGTGGCACTTTTGAAATGTCTTATTGTGACAAGGAGTGCACTTGTCAGACTGGAGGATTAAAGAAGCTCACAGAAGTACATTAACACAATACAACAATACAAACACATGACTCACAGTCACATATAAATCCTAGTCCACAATAATACACACGCAGCAGTGCCTTATTGGGCTGTTTGTTCTGACGTCAGACTGAGAGAGACTAAAACTAAAGACATTGCTCTTTTTTTTACTTTTCTAAGTACAATTTTGTTTCTGGAAGTACTTTTTTGGTTACCACAAGGTTGTCCTTGTGGTAATGAGTTTTTATGTGCTGACTTTGACTTTATGCTGCCCTGTTTCTGTGCCTTTGTTTATGTTGTTCTTAGACTGCTGACATTTACACGAGGTGGGAAAAACTGATTAGAATCAATGATCTTGTTCTTCAGCAACAGATTGTTATTTCAAATACAGATATATTCTGTTTATAAGAAAGTGCAACACATTCTTGGTGACGACAGTGGAAATGCCTCTTGTACATTCTGTCCATAAAATGTAGCATCCTTGTACTCAGATGACAGGGTTCATGTCATGTGCGTCTGACAATTGTTTTGTGGCTTTTGCTGTCAGTTTTTTGTTGGAAATGTGTTTAGAGGTATGTTCTGACGGTTGCGTCATGCTGGTATGCCTCGCAGGAATGTGATCCACAGGGTTGGCTGGCAAAACCAGTTCACTATGAAAGTAACTTCTCAGTGCTCCAAACATAGTTACAAGGATGTGACATATGGACCGATGACAAATTAAAGGAAAAACCCAACTCTTGACGTGTACTTAAATCCAGTGTCTTTGTTTTCTTGGTTGGCTCACTGTGGGTCCATGTTTTCCCCTTACACAGATGGGTGACTGCAAATCAATACAAACTTGTTTTGAGTGGTCACATTTAGCCTGTGACGAATATCATTTATATTCTGATAGCAGTCTCGACCCCAGGATAACAAGACAGCTCCAGGGCATAAAGGATCAGTGAGTGGGTTGATGAGTGTGAGAATAATGTGCGTTTCAGTTCAGCTTTAGTTATATAACACCAGTTCACAAACAAGTCTTGTATTGTCATTTAGACAATATTAGAGGGAAAGAGAGGGCCTAAAATGAGACTATCCACTATGAACTATGGTGGGGAAGAAGAACCATCTTAACAGGAAGAGACCTCCAGCAGAACCAGGCTCTATGAACTATGGGGTCTTTAAGAAGGCAACCTGAATTTTATAATGTTGCCTAAAGAGCTCATGTACAGGATGAAAAGCATCAGTTCTAAAACAAGTGTAAGTGTTTGCAGCTTAATAACCTTTTATCGTGTGAGAAAGACTTGTCACTTACACACACACACACACACAGACAAATATGTATCTCCATCTAAGTAAGCGCTACAAGTCTGTTAAATGTTGTGATCACTGCAATAACAGAGAGCTGCAGTAAAATCAGTGAAGACAAAGCGATAAGTCAGAAGCCGCGAGATAATCACAGGTAACTTTTACTAGTGATCTTTTAAGTGAGCCGCGTTACCATACAACACAATCACGTATATTTAGACTTTTTTTTTTTTTTCCTCAGGCGTATATTATATTTGGTTAGAAGCCGCAGACCCCATCTAGAAAGCAAAACAGCAGAGTGAATATAATAAATTAATATAATAAATAAATGAATAAATCATCATTTATAAATCTATAAATTATTTTATAGATTTAGAATGTCTTTAACCAGCACTACTAGTTGTTATGTGAGGGTCAAAGTATGCTTATGTTGATCACTAGTTATCAATGTTAATAAAACATTTCAGAGTAATCGTTTGAAAAATCAGGGGTGGGCCTTCTAAATAGTCTATTCAATATTTCATCATTTATTCTGTTGTGTTGTTTTGATATAGCCTTATAAGATTTGTAGGCATATCCCACATTCTCATTTTTTTTTTTTTGACAGGTTCACTGAGGGAAATTCAAAAGCACTTTCAGTTTTGTTTCAGTAGCTAGTTGACTTGTAATGTTTAAGTGTGTTTGTGTTTTTAACAGCCAACAATAAGAGTGTCAGCTGGCAGCTCGGCCGGGATGGGGACGTGGCGGTTGTTGTGATTGGGGAGGTGGATGAGCTGAGCTCCAAATTCATCTGCTCAGGATTTGGAGAGAAGAAGACTCCAAGCCTGCAGAACAACCCGAGGTAATACACATTTGTAATACAAAACAGACAGTGATGTTTTTTTTTTTGTTTTTTTTTTAAATAATTAAGATTAAAGGCAGAGAACAACGTGTAACAGAAGAATCAGTGTTTCAGTTTTTTGTTTTTCTTTTTGTGTGTGCATGTGTTGCTAACAGACTGTCATTTAAGGAGATTTGGTTGGGTTTTATACGTGACACATTCTGTTTATGTTTTCCAGCCATCAAACTATACTGAAGGACAGAAAAAACACGGAACCTGTCAAGACTGAGAGAGAGAACCTCCTTTCTAAAACGCAACCCGACGTCTCCCTGAATCTAAAGGTGTGTGTAGCTCTCTGTGATCCTTAAAAATCAAATCATTTTGGTTGGAGAAAAAAAAAGTCATAATTATTTTTTAATATTAAACACTGCTATCGCCTCTTGATTTAAATAAAAACATACACCTAATAAATATGTTAAAGTTGATCAAAACATCGTGTATAATAAAAATGACTGAGATGGAGTTGGCTTTCAGATCGACATAAAATAAAGTTTCACGGTGCTCTTTATCTTTTATCCATTCAACTCAATATTTCCATCTCAATCTCAACACTGTGGTGGAGTCATTTTCACTTCTCATACCCGCAGAGCAGTTTGTGGAAACTTTCCATTAGGTTCTTGAGCATAGCTGGTGAAAATCAATCGCTGCCCTGTTTCTGTGTCAAAATAATGTGCTGATGATTTCTGACTTGGTGATATTTTAGGTGTGTGTGTATGTGCACAGCAGTGTATTAGTTTTGGTGTGTGTGTGTGTTGGGGGTGCTGGTGGGTGCCTCCTTTTTTTTTTTTTTTTTTTCCTTTTTCCATGCTATCTCAAAAAGAGATTTGCTGTGTTGTCATGGCAACCATGCACACACTGAGCCACAGCGAGCCAGCGTACACAGTCTCATCTGGCCTGACCATGATGTTTCTCTAAAGCTTAAGCTGCTTGCTGCTCATTCAGTGGAAATAAGAGCCCATCATTGTTTTTCCTGCAGAAACAAAACCACCGCACAGATGTTTTTTTTTCTTAAAAGCAACTTTTAATTTGAAATATATTCACACAATTAAGTATTTTATCTCATCTCTATTTCTTAAACTCCTTTAAGTATAGATTTAAGAGCTTATTCCAAGCACTGAACTCTAAAAGTTGAGGAAGATGACGAGTCGCCATCAGCACTAACTGTGTCTCTTTCTCTCCCAGCAGGGGAAAAGTGAGGAGGCGAGCGGTTTACTCCCTCTGCCGGTGAGTTGGAGTAACTGCCTGCACTAACAGAGCTGTGTGCTCTCACACTGCATCATGGCCTAGATCACTCATGTAATGTCTTTGTTAAACCCACAGGTGTCAGTGAGCGAGCATTCACCGCCTACAGCAACTGCAAAGGTATCTGTGAATTAAAGTCATTGCAGGTGTTTTGATCTCATTCTAGCTTTTTGAAATATTTTTAAGAAAGGAAATGTTTGCATACCTATGCAGAAAAACACTTTAAAAGACATGTTTCAGCAAGGTGCTGTATACGATGTGCAGTAAAATCTCTAGCTCTTTGAAGCACAACCACCACAGAGTGCCTATATGACTTTTTGTGGCAGTCCTACCCTCTGAGTCACAGGAAATGGTGGTTGGGGCCAGCTGTCCCCTCGCTCCCAGCCTCTCTGCAGATCATCTTTCTCCCAGCATTCTCCTTCTCTGTGCTCCCGCTTGTCTAAGCTGCCGCACCCCTCACAGTTCTCTCTCCGGGGAACAGCTGAACTGTCCTGTCCTCCCACTAGCTCCATCGCCGCTCCAGCCTTGTGTCGTCTGGGGAGTAGGCTTGCTATATCCCCTTGCTTTCTTCTGCGTTTATGTGCATACGTGTGTGCGTAGGGGTGTGTGTGTGTGTGTGTAGGGGTGTGTGTGTGTGTGTAGGGGTGTGTGTGTGTGTGTGTAGGGGTGTGCAGGTGACACGCTTTGCAAGAACAGCTGAATCACAGAGACAAGGCAGGATTTCTGGACTGCCCTAGAACAGATGGTTGATGAACTTGATCAGGGAATTAAAACGCCAGAGATAGAGAATGCGTCAGTCGCAGATGGATGGGATTGTGGGATAGTCTCCTGAGGTTTGGGCGCGTGAGCTCTCCTCTGTTCCATTTTTTTCTTCTTCTTTTTTTCCCCTCCTCTTTGCCACAGACAGAAATTTCTCTCCCTCACATCTTATATCCATACCAGCCTCTCTCCATTACAGGCCCCAGCACATCTTTGGCCCACCCCATGCGCACATGGCAAGAAAGCATTCACACCTTAGGAGGTTTGGCAAGTGTGACAGCCAAGAATTCACAGCATAAGCCTTTCTTTATAGGATTCATAATTTGGTTGAATGCCTTGTTTATAGATTGAATGATTTGTTCCTGGAGGAGAAAGGAAACGGGGGCGCTTTGGTGATGTGGCTGTTGCTAACGCCGCTGCAGCTTTTCTCCAGTTGATTTAGAGAGCGAAGGAGTCGTCGTGAGGGAGGAGGAGAGAGTGAGATTGTTGATTAAGAAGGCGTAAGATCAGGAGGCAAGATTAGCAAGGCTGCTTGATTTTCAAGTCACCTTATAATTTTCTCTCCAAACATCCTTAAACTCTTAATCAGTGGTCATAGTTCTGCGTGTTTCATTCCGGCACCATGTTGTCACTGGAGGATTCTAATTTAGTGAATCATTTATCCAATGATTTAATCAAACATGACAGTAATTCCACTGTATGTGAATTAGCTGTCAACACCGATCGCACTCCCCGCTTCTCTTTTGTCACTCCTCACTCTGCAGCTCGAGTTGAAGTCAGCCATTGCAACCGAGGAGAAGTCAGTTCCCCAGCCCTCCATCTGCTCCAGGCCTCCCATGAGAGCTAACGCTGTCAAGACGAGACCGGCTTCTGCAAATGCAGCACCAGACTATGTCAACACGAGACCTGGCCTCACAAATCTGAGGCTGGCTACCGCCGTGCCATACTCTTCTCCCGGCAGCGCTGTCAAAATAGACTCTGGCATGACGTCATCAACCAAAGGGAGCCTGCAGTCAAAAGAACCCCAGAAGCCACAGGAGTCACCGGGTGGTAAAGGTGAGTGAATTTAACTCAGAGTTAAAAGTACATGACACATCTAAGGTTGGAGTGAATTGATGACATGGTATTGTTTTAACCCCTGTGATGTACTGGGAAAACTGTATGGTGTGCCATCCATCTTTCACAGTATCAGGTGGGAGGGGCTTGTACCCCTTCTACCTTTTTATTTTCTCAGTTTTCCTGTAATCCAATAAGCAAAAGCAGCCATACTGATTATGATCAGTGTCACCGTGGATAAACTAATCTAGATTCGTGGGAAGTCCATGATTCTTATTTCTGGCTAAGTTTCATTTGTTGCGGAAAGCCTGGACTCCAGTTTTAAACATATGGGTTTAAAATTGAGTTCACAACATGGTTACTGCCTTACGTGACAATCACCACCGCTCTCTGAGCCAGCTGCAGCTTTTTCTCTAAGAGTAATAATAGCTTTGGAGAGCTGAGCAGAACCAGTCTGAACAAAGTTCATACTAGATAAATTTCTCTGCGCTGCAGCAAGGAAGAAGGATTTATTTCCTGAAACCCAATGTGCTCGCCAAATAGTGCCTCAGCCCCCTGGAATCTTTATGGACTGGCAGAGTAAAAGAGGCCTGCCTAGAGGGGAAAAAAGCAGGGGAAAACGTATGCGACTGGGATTTGTCCCCTTGTAACATGTTGCTCGTGCACACCTGCTCTTTTGATAGCTTCTCTATTGTGATCAGTTTCTGTCAACAATTAATTTGTCAACAGCCGTGGCAATGCAGTCGACATTTGGTGGGACCAAATCTGCTGGATTTGAGGGTCCAATTCTCTCCCCCCCCTCCCAAAAAAAATCTAAATGTGAAAACCAATTTCCTGATGGAAATTGGTGGCCAGCAGGGGTGTTTGCTCTGCTCTTCTCTCCTCTCATTTTTTGCCTCTCATTCCATCCTCTCCCCAGCCCTTCCTCTCCAGATCCTTTATTCTCCAGTCTTTTCTTCAGAGCGTCGTGCTAAGTTTGTGAGCAAATACAAAAAAGAAGAAAAAAGAATTGTTTTTGACCTTGATGAAAAATATCATGAAGTCAAGGAAAAATGTGAAGGAGAATTATCTGCCAGCAGTAAAACTAAAATATTAGTTCCCTAGAATGACTACTTAAAACTCAACTTGTTCTTCTGTGTTATTTCATGGAGGCAACATAAATGTGGATAAAAGTGTAAACATATGCCTTTGTTAAGTGGTAATTTAGTAATAACAAAGGATACCAGTCAAAAAATTAAAACAAAAGGTTTTGTAAATAATGCCCTATCTATCTTTCTGTGTCAATCTTGGCAAAGGTTGTTCTTCAAAGCTGCATTACTGTGCAAAAGTCTCGAGTCACTCGTCATTTCTTTATATTTTTCTAGGAAAAAGGGAAATGGGTTCAGCAAATTATTAAAATTCATCATTCAAATAAAAGCTTTGAAAGACCTCCAGAAAGCATGGAGAAGTCTGGCTTGTTGCAACCAAAATGGAACGAAATAAGGTGTGAAACGAGACTTTTGTACAGTATTGTATATTATATTAATTTTGTTTCAATTTGGGCTGAGATGAGGCCTTCCTGTTAGGGTAATGTATCAGTGTTTTTGTTTCTCGTTTAGTCTTTTATGGGTCTGCTCCTCTCGTGCAACTTTCCTTTTGTGCCAGTGTTAAATAAAATGGGGAGGTTTTTTTTTTTTTTATGTTGTAGAGATGAACCAACTTCTTGTTTGAATCTTTCTCGAGTTATCGTTGTAATATCTAATATACCTGTTGGAAGCTCATGTACCACACAGTGACCCAGTTAAGTATAAAAATGGTCATTGTAAGGGTGAAGTTAGCACCATCCAGTGGAAATCAGTGATACTGTAGGGAAAGAAAAGTCCAGTTGAGCAGAAAATCTCATCTCCATAAAGGTCCCTCTGCTGGAAATATGCTCTCCCTACACCACACGCTCACTGCAACATGAACTTGAAGGCTGGCTTCCTCCAGAACCATTTTTTTAAATTTGGAAGAAACAAAGAAACCTAAATAAAATCACATTTTTCCTTTCAACGGTGATTGCAGCAGTTTTATTGGGTCAACTTAAGTTTATACCAGGCAGATGTCGACAGAGTCAGTTTCCTTTAGAAAGCCATACAACAAAACCAAGTTCCTAGCACCTTAACAGGAACTTCCTCATAGCTGTGTGACTGTCTATTGGTTTAGCCACATGTTTTTAGCATTTTATATAAAATGGGTGGGGGGAACAATCCTGAAAATATTTCCTGCCCCCCGCCCCTTTTTTTCTGATTATTGTAAACATTCAAGATCATTACAGATTTTTGGCGGTCAAACCCACACACTCGTGAGAATGTCGCAAAAAGACAAAGTGTGTTGTTGTTTTGTTTTTTGTTTTTCTTGTTTGTTTTTAGTTAAATGTGGATCTGGCTGCAAAGATGTATTGTAGAAGTTTGGTGGCATGTGTGTCTTCACCCACTTTGGTGGTTAGATTAGTGGCTACATCTATGCTCCCTGGGCGCTAGCACGACAGTGAATAAGAGCAAAATGTAGAGGGAAGAAAGGGAAAGGAAACCCAAAAGAACAGCTGGTGTGGTGGGAGTTGAGGTGGGTTGAGCACAGTGCTGAATAAATGTGTTCGACTCCGGAGCAAAAATACTGACACAGTGTCTGTCCTTGACAATGGCAGGAAGCTTGTTCCAACAGGAGGAGGAGGCCAACAAAGATGAGGCTCATGCCTCAGCTGTTTTCATTTGAATGCGGGTAATGACAAGGGTTCATGCATCCTGAGCAGTTACCGTGGCTCACGCCTCGCTTTCCCAAAGAATAACTAACTTTGTATTAGTGACAGTATAAATTTGGATTTACAGCTACAACGAGGAACATAAAACTCTGAAATCTAACACTGGAGCATTCATGCTGTAAATGTTTTACACAGGTAGACTGGATGTCATGACAAGCCAGTATGGTTTAGGCTAACCCAGGAGGATAAGACGAAATCCAATTTAAAAGTCTCAGGTTCTGGATATTGACAGGATGCCGTTATCCCATCTTTGATAAATTTTAAATGGCTTAAAAAGATTAAAGGTTTTACATTCGTCAGGTAAGAGGTTGGGCAAGAACAAGAGTATCCAAGTCCGTGTATCTCGACAAAAGCAAAAGAAAGTCTTGCTATACATGGATCGAGTTCCTGGATCCAAGAGGATATGAACGCAGATCAGTTTGTGATATTTTCTTGAAAACAATAAGACATTAACCCCCCCCCCCCCATCTGTGAAGATGTGGCATGAAATTTTGGGCCAAGTCCCACCTCTGCTAAAATGTTTGAGTAATCCTCCTAATAAACAGAGAAACAATGTAACCAAACCAACCACAAAACCTTCTTGGCAGAAATTGTGAGTGAACAAATAAAATGGCAATTAAACCCTGGTATTTTTCACAGTGTTGATGTATTTATAACAAATAATCTGGTAATTAATGTTGGTGAGAAAAATCCATATTTCTCACCAGTTTTCTCTTCAGTTTCTTTTGGCAGGAAACAGACTTTTTTGGAAACAAACAGGTGTAACATCTGCGTGGAGAAAAACAAAATCAGTTCATGCTTGAAAACGTAAACACTGAAAGCCTGTAAATCTGAAAATGAGTCTTACTGTTAACTGGGACTCTGCACAAAAAGTGAAACCTGTGTTGCCTCACAGAAAGAGGTTCCTGGGTTTGGACCTGTCCTTCTGTGTGGAGCTTCACCCTGTGATCGCGTGGGTTTTCTCCTCTTATGTGCTAGGCCCATTTTGGCAGCAAAAATAAATCCTGAATCTTGAGATTTTTATTTCTTAGTTAAAGTTATAGAAACTGTTAACACTCCAGATAATGAAGGTAGGATGGCAGAGCCGGTGCAAGAAATAAACCTATATATGTTGAGACAGTCCATATGATTTGAGGATGGTTTCAAGAACATCAAAGTCTTCTGCAGCTAATACATGCACGCGTGTTTTTGTGTTTATAACTCTTCCCTGTGTCTCCGTCCGCTCTCCTCTGGCTTCACCTTCAGAGGGAAGGACACACATTCCAGCGCTGCTTTCCGACTCTAGCCCTGGGCGACGCTCAGCCAGAGCTGATAAGTGACAGGGGCCCCAGCCCCCATGCAGGAGCTTGCCCCAATGCTTACACACACGCCACACACACACACACACACAACAAGCGCACCTACACCTCTCCTCCTCCCCACGCTTCAGTCCACAGACGTGCTGCTGGGGAATTCTGCCCTCTGCCCCACTTCTGCCCCCCACCTCCCACCCAAGTCCTCCACCCATGCACCACTCCTCTTTCTCTGCGAGACATGTGGACGTCTTTAAAGAGATAGATTAGTCTTTAATTTTTGTGCTAGCCTGATCATTGACACTTCTTCCCGCCCCTCTTCTTTGTCCTCTCTGTACATTTACGAGCTGCCCCGGGACGTGATGGGTGGCATCTTGAATGCTCGATTGGGAGATTAATCAATCTCAACAAGCAATTCGTTGCAGAGGTTCTCTTTAATTTAAATAGGTGTTTTCGCAGGTAGCTTTAATGACTTGTTTCGGCGGACGGACAGAGCTCGGGGTGCAGCTGCTGAGGAGAGTTTCATTTAGTCCCTGCCCATACACCAATCCTCCCTCTCCTGCTCTTTCTATCTCTCTGTCTCTATTAAGCATTCCACTCCAGACCTGCAGGAAGGCTCTGAGCTCAAAAAACTCTCTGGCCATGAGTGTGTGTGCGTGCCCGCGTCTGTGTCTGTGTGCATCTGTGTGTGTTCGGTGCGTGCCTGAATGTGTGTCAGCCTCAATTGCTGGAGCCTATCCAAGGTTTCCGTGGTGACCACACAACACAACGAGACAATCAGAGGCAAGCCCACGAAACGCAGCGAGAGGACATTAACACAGGAACTATGGGTCAGGGGGCAGAGGAAGGCAGGGCAAAAGGAAGGTAGAGGGGAGGTGTTGGAGCCACGGGGAGAGGTGCACGAGAGAATGAGAAAGAGGAGCGAAAGCAGAGTAAACAGCAATAAACAATAACACAACCTTAAAGGCTACTTTAGGTCTCTCCCTTTCATGCCTGCAAGACATCAAGAGCTTTAAAGGTTTCCTGGCCTCAGGAGTGCCCATGTGGTTTTGGCTGTACCTCACCTCTTTGTGTGTGTCTGTGCATGTGTGCACACTATGGCGTGGCGTTAGTCAGCGATGGCTGCATGCGTGACTGAATCCATGTGCAGTGGGTGGGGGGGTCTGAATCCGTGTTTATGTGTGCGAGAGCATGCACGGACCCGAACGTAACGTGAGAATGTGCATGTCTTTTGAAATTCAGCTGTTAGAAACTCTGTACACGCCTGTGTGTGTTTTCACTCTATTTTCTGCGTGTGTGTGTGTGTGTGTGTGTGTGTGTGTGTCTGTAGTCACGCACACGGGTGCTCTCACATATCTCTGTCCCCCGGGGATGACGCTAAAAATATGTGGCTCCTCAAGCCTTCTGGTGTCTGAGCAGCGTCTGTCTGCTCTCCATTCCCGTCCCTGCGGCCCTCCCCTCCCCTTCGTTCGTTACTCCTGTTCCCTCCATTCCTCCCTCAATTACACCCTCTTCCAAACACAGTACCTCTGCAACACGCACGCACACAAAAGCACAAACTACACCCAGCTGTGTCCCTACTACACTTCCACTGAGGATGACCTCTGCTCAGCCGTAGCGGGATAAAGGAAAGCGAATGAAAGGGAGAAAAAAAGGCAGAAAAGGGTGAAGAGCGAGCTAACATGGCATTGCGGGAAGGGTAGTGGTTGATTCCTGCTTGCCCAACAGCTACTGAACATAAAATCCTAAATAAGTGATTTGCAAAGCATTTAAGCTCCTATATCTAATTGAAAACTGTGAAGACGCACACAAACATCCCTATACATACATACATATATATATATATTTATGTGTATATATATATATATATATATGTATTTATATATATATATATATATTATTATATATATATTATAGTATATTATATATATATATATTAAATTTTTTTTTTTTTTTTTTTTTTTTTCCATTTCTAAACTTGATACCTGGACATGTGGCATGTTTACACCATTGTGCATCATCTCTCCTTTTAAACAAAGCTTTGTAAGCATTAGGGAACTAAAGAGATCGTGTTGCTGTGGTTTTAAAGGCAAAACGTAAACTGTTGTGTGTTGTTTTCTTTTTCTTCCAGATATCTGCGAATCAGAAAAGCTTCAAAAGGCTAGCTCAGAGGAGCCTTGGACGTCAGGGAGTGCACCAGTCTGCGCAGGGCGTGGTCGTGTGGCTCAGCTGATGAAAACCTTCAGTGTCGATCGCGCTACAAACCCTGCACAGACCCCTTCCCGTGGGATTAAGCCACCCCTTCCCACAAAACCTAGCCACTTGCGTCAAACGAGCACACCTACTGTCAGGTAATCCGTACACTGGTGAACAGGCACCCACCCAAGCTTCATGCATCCCTGTGATTCAGATCACCTACTGTGATGCCTCATTCAGAGGCTTAATGGGATGGACTCCAAAGGTGGTTTAGAAGTGGTAACGTTTGCATTGTTGCTGTCACTCTGAATGCACAGTGATGGAAATGCTTGAATGTAATGGTTTTCTTTTATTGTTATTATTATTTTTGATGCTGCAGTACTGTAAACACTCTTTAAGTCAAAAGAATTCCAAAGAAGTGGATTGCATTTGAAAGTTTTTAAACATTTTTGCCAGGAAAATGATGGCGCACATATTTTCAAATGAATTTACTTGTTACTGATGCTTTTCACTTCATACAAGCATGAAAAAATGTGCTATTTTTCTAAAACACAGTTTTTACCCTAATTCACAAAGTCCGCGCACACGATATTTACTGACACGTTGCCTTTTCTTTTGATTGCTTATAAGACAGTTTACATTCGCTGGTGTGCACACATGCCTGGTTCTGTTTTTCCTCCTTATTTCTGTCTTCTTGAACAAAAGAATGGGCATGGGGGGGCATGAGGGTGTTAAAGAAGGCACAGTAGAGGCCTCCTTTATCTTGCTGTCTCCTCCCTGGGAATAGTGTAGAGTTGTTTATTTGTCATAATGCAATGTATGTCTCCCTCTGCCACCTGGCAGGAGGCTCACTGCGACCTGTTGTGGACCAATGACAGTGCCAAATGCACTCATCTGTCACTCCCAGTGGATCAAATCCTGGCAAGTTAGACAGTTGCTGCCAAATAATCCAGCGTTTCATGTTTTTGAGCTGTGTGACTGTACTTTTTGCTTATTGTTTTTTTGGTTTGTTTTTTAAATTTTTCTATATGAGGAGTGAGATTTTGTGATGGGATATTTAACATTACAGCAATGTTCACTTATAAAATGAGGGACATTTTTTTTTTTCTCTTTTTTTGATGTCAAGGTTTTGTGGTACAGTCAATGAAACAATAAAACTGCATAACTTGTATACCCGAGTCTTTTAAAGTTTGTGTGTGTGTGTGTGTGTTTACTTTCTTAAAAAAACCCTCTCACTCTGTCTCTGTTTATTCTGTCTGGCAATCCTTCAGCTAATTTGCTGACTTAGCCTCTGAGAGCAACAGCCAATTTTTCGGGGTTCTGATGTAGCCACCAGATATTCAAGCCAAGAATGTTGTCCATTAGTCACTGTTTGCAAAGATATAAAAAAACAAAAAAAACAAACAACCACTTTTTTAATGAAAGTTTGTGTTCAGTCTCTTTTTGATGTAAGCTTTTCTTTTTAAATCTGCTCCAATGTGATTGGTCAGTTGAACTTGAACTAGAAACTAGCTACAACAGGTAACCAGTCAGATCAAGAAGCAAATAATCTTGTCCCTTTCCTACCAATTCTGAAATACCGGATAATTCTGTTCATAGAATTTATAGTTTAGCTAACTTTCATCACTGTAATCCCAATAAAAAAGAAATTTAAAAAATGTTTTATGTGGCGTTCAGAGGGCAAAACATTTGAAATAATTTGATTATTTACTGTTTAAAAAAAAAAAGGGGGGGGGGAAAACCTGTAAAAAATAAAATAAAAAAAAATTCTGTAACATGTAGGTTGCAGCTGGTGAACTAAGAATATCTGCCTTTTTTAGATGTCCAGCCTCGGCAAATATACTTGCATGCTTCACCAGGGTCAGTGTAAAATTTTAATTTCAGCAGCACAACAGATACACCCACACGTTTGGTATCGCTGTGCTCAGACATTTCTTGCTTAATTTCCAGTAATGCTCTCCAAGCCTGCAGATGAAATTCAAATCTTTGCAAAAATTGAGGCATATTTTCACATTTGTACCTGCGATTTCCATTGCAGATTGCAGTTGCCTTGGCTAATGTTTGGCACCTGGCTAATCTGTTTAAAGAACATCCCCTGTAACAAATCAGCCAACTGGGGGTGAGTAACAGCAACACTCCAGCACCTTTTAAGTTAATGCACCACTCACTTATTAATGGTGAGTTGCAAATGGCCCTCTGATGCCCTACAGTGCCATAATTAACAACATTTAGACAGGAAGTGGTCTTTGTCTGTGTTTTGTCCAGCAGAAAAAAGTCTGGTACTGGATTTTAAGGCAGGAGTCACAGGAGCACATGAGATGGAAGTAAAATGGCACGCAAGTTTGGGGTGACAGAATTGATGTTTTTGTAATGTCTGGATAGGCAGCAACATGCATGCACAGGTCTACAAAGCAGAGCCCATGACTCAGCGTTAGCTCTATACTCTACAAAAGACACAGTGTAAGAGTGTCATGACGCTGCTGATTGATCGAGACTCCTTTCAAACACAAGCACACACTGGCACCATTTTAACAAGTTTCATTACAAGCTATTGTATTAATTACACTGAATACGTCAGAGTTTTTCACCTGGAACCAGATGTGCCTCAGATCCATGAACACCTTGGAGAGACCAGCTTCTGCCTTAATGATTGTGATGACTTCAGATAGTAGGTGTGTGTGTATGCTGTGTGTTCTATTAACTTGAATTTAAAACCGTTACAAAAATGGATAATGTAGGAAGACTGTATTCACTCTGCCGTAAACACTGCTTGGTCTTTTAATCACTTAATCTAAGAACAGCAATACAGTAATCGATAGAAGATAAGAAAATGTTGGTGTAGAGAATGATTTCATTAGATAAGCATAGGTAATTAAGATAGTATGAAAAAGTGACAATATTAAAGTAAAAAAATATTCTTTATATGTATTTAAAGAATATTTGATTTACCTTGTCTTGGTCACCCATTGGCAAATGTATTTCATGTCATTGTGTTTGTAGAATGATTTTTGCATCCGTCTGGGATATTTTAGGAGATGAGCATGAATTCCTGAATGGAAATCTTTTGGAAAACTCTGCGACAGCAAAGATGGCCCACCCCTCAAAAAGCATGCAACAGCTGAACCAATAAACATGCACGCCCCCTGTGTTGTTGCGTTGACACATGCACACAGCAGAGGTTAATGACAGTTTCAGCTAAGCAGTGGCAAGCATATCTGCTTGTATCTGTAGTGAAGAAGTAGCTAAGTTTCCTTCTCATTTTTCTTTGCAGATACGTAGTAAGACAAAATTGCCTTTTAATCCTTATTATGGGGCAAAATAAGGAAACTTCTGAAACGCATTTTTCCTTCGGATGATCATTCTGTACATAGTCTTTATGCCTGATGACTACTGAAATTTAAGTTGTGGCTCTTATCTCATTTATTCAGATAAGGGCTAATATTTATTAGAACGTGACTATTTTGTGAAACCAGATAAAATATAGCCTTAGGCCTTTGCTTATGCATCTGTTCTCACCTGATGTCTTTTGAACCAAACAATTTTTTTCTCCTGATTATGACTGTAAGATAATTTTCATATGATATGAGCTACTCTAATATTCCCATCTGGCACTGCAAAGTCATTGCAAACAAAACACTGCTGTCTAGACTGGTGTGGATCTTGTATCTGCGTAGGCCCACACAGAGGGCAACAGTGTTCTCTCCTGCAGGAAAGTGCTTTATAACTTGACAAACGACCTGCGAGTCCACATCCAAATGTACTCCTCAATCAGGTCTCATCACCGAGGTCGTCTTTTAGGATTTACAGCACAACACGTCATGTAGCATGCATAGTAGGTTCTATTGTTCACGCTCTAGGTACTTGTGCAACACAGTGAAAGTGCTGAAGCACGCAACTGTGCAATGCCGCCTATAGATCTCCGTCCCTCAATGAGCCTAACAATGGCTGTGGCTGTTCTCTGATGCGCAGAGACATCGTCGAGCAGTTTCCAGGAGATATCTGTGGCGAGTCCCTTGGTATGCCCCCCACCCCCCTTGGCCCCACACACACGCACACACACTTTTCTCTTCATCCACCGAGCGCGGCCACTGCTGTCGTCAGGGCCCTCCGATGGGAGATAAAAAAGAAGCTGTTGTTGTCTCCTTGCAGGAGAGATGGACGCCTGTTTCTCTCTCTCTCTTTTCCCTTTTTTTTTCTCTGCCTCACTCGTTTCGCGCTCGCACAAGGGGAAGTGAAGAGAGGAGAGGAAAGAGAGGGGAAAAAACGAACAATGTGGAGGAAAGAAAGAAAGCTATACTGCGCGCTGTGGCGTTCCACCACACCACCAATAACTCCCCCTCTCCTCCAGCACCAGCCCCATCCACAGCAACCCTAGTAGTGAGAGAGAGAGAGAGAGTGAGAGAAGAGAGGGGGGCCAGGGCCATGTGATATGGAGAGCATGCGGGCACAGCTTCACCCCCAGGCAGAATGAACGGGGGCCTGCTGTGTCTCTCCTGCATGATTAATCTGGCTGAGGGGCAGGAGGACTGCCACAGCCCTGCCTGCATTAACTCCCTACTCTCCAGGTCTGCACGAACACACACACACACACACACACACAAACTCACACACCAGCTTTAGAACCATGGCAGGGATACAGGTTGCTAACCACACAATGCAGTGTATGTGCATGTATGTATGTGTGTGTGTGTGTGTGTGTGTGAAGAATAGTGAGTGGCAGTGAAGTAGATTCCTGTTGAGGTATCTGATTCTGAAAGTTGAACTGTATATTTGTCGGTGGCCAAGGGGCAGCGTCTCACATGTTATTCATGCACTGACACGACACTAAACCTTCTGCATGTTGCCAAACTGTAAAGACCACCATGATGCAAGGGTCATTGGTTTCTAGGTAGTTCTGGGTTTCGGTGAGTCATAGTCTCATGTGACCTCTGTCTCCCAGGCAACATTGTGGATGTTTCCTGGTCTTGTCTTTTTGTGTAATTCACATGAAGCAGATGGTCCAAGAAATGCGGCTTGCTCTTTAAAATTCTCCCTAAGAGTATCTGGCGTGTAAGTGGTCAAATTTTCAAATAGCCGTGACAGCTACTTCAATGCAGTACAGCAGGTCTGTGTTGTCTCTCAGTACCACGCTTTCGGCTAATGTAGACACCGTAACTGTCCTTCCCGAGGTACGCAGCACTTTCTTTCATAGGAATGTTCAAGCCCTGGGCTGCTGTAAAGCAGGAAGTGTTGGGGAGGACCGGGTATTGTGCAACAGTGGAGACCAAGTACCAAAAGGCAGGCAGAGGGTTAACATCCTGCAGTACGCTCCACATTAACTGGAAAGGAATGAAGTGTCAAGCATGTTTTCACCACAGCGAGACGGTCAAAACCCTAACCCCTCCTCCTCCCACCAACCAGTCACCCCTCAAACCTTCTCCCCCACATCACCCGCATGCCTCCCACTCCCAACAGCCTCCCACAGCCATGACCAAATTATTTTCCAGCCTCCCGAGATTCGCCTTGCCAGACAAAAATCTGCAGCGCAGTCCTGAATCGGTGCGGAGCACACTCAGCCTCCCTTGTCTCTTGTTGCCTCTCTGCCACCACGAAGAAAATAGGTCTTCCTTTTGCCAACTTGGTCTGTGCATGTGTTTACTTGCCAGATGTAAACAGCTACCAGCCAAATGAGTAGCCTGCCTGCGCTTTTACTTTGAACAATGACGCGTTCAAAGTGCTGAAGTGTTTTGCAAAGGATTCATTGAATACAGGTATGAAAGTGCTGAATGAACCGCAGAGACACAGAGAGGGAGGAAGCGCAAGACAGAGAGAAAGGACAGGCGCTCGGTGATTGAGAGAGTAAGTGAAAGGGGGGAGTAGAATGAGAGAGAAGAGAGACAGAACGAGGGAGGGAGAGAGAAAATAAGCCCCACCAGTGAGCAGGCCACACAGCCCTGCCAAACTGCTTGAAAAAAAAGCCCCCTCTGTTTTATTTATAGTGCACTGTATCCATGGCAACCAGAGAGGTCAGGCAAGCTGGGCCTGCGCTTCACCCTGCTCTGGGGATTAGGATTTCACAGAGGTTCTCAGATGTGAGGAAGGTGGGCTAGAGCAGCTTGCTGCTCGCCAACGCAGTCCTCCTGCCTTTTGGTGAAGTCTGGGCCCTTCGCGGGAAGAGAGGGGGAGCAGCAGAGAGTCATGGGAATACTGTGGGAATGGTGGTTTGTGGTGATGGAGCTGGGAAGAAGGAGACTAGCACGGAGAGGAAAAGTACACGCATGTTAGCAGTTGCATGCAGAGGCTGTTTTCACTGAGTACCTTCTGTCACACCAAAGCTCAGCGGAGTTTGTTCTGTTTTTTCGGTTTGCTTCTTAGAGCAGAATATAAAAGGTCATGCAAGGTCA